ACTCTGCGGGTTGTGCCGGACCTCCTAAAGGAAAATGGTTTGAAACCGAAACGAAAATTATTCTTGGCACCTCATATTGAACACGATTAAAGAGACAAGTTGGCCTCTTGAAGTATCACAGCCAATAAACCAAAACGAGTTGAGGTCGTTCCTAGGAATGTATACTGACCTCTCATGGTTTGTTCTGCAATCAGTCACTGCGCTGCCACCTTCGTATCGTTTGTTGTGTAACGGCGTTCTGTTGGTGTGGTCTGAGAGCGAAGAGTCGGATTTTCGCCATTTTAAAAATGCACTGGCCATTGACCTTGAAAACTAGATGCCGACATCTGATGCATCTTGTTGAAGTGCCCTTCTTCTTCTGAATGATGGAAGAGTGAAGATACCGGTTGTACTTGCCTACCCCAAGCCAAGCGAAGATAGGCCCAAGTTGCCTAGGGGGGTTTGTTGATTGTATTTGTGGTCGTCTGTTTTTATCAACACATATTGGGGCAGAATTTTGTAATACCCATAGATTAAAAGCGACTGCTTGGAATTTTAGGGGAGTCAAAAGGGATGCCCCAGATAGTATCGCCCCGCGGGCTTCACTGGGCCCTACCAATTGTAGACTATCAGTATCAATTGGAATCCTTTCTTGGTAAGGAAAATCAGTGTGCCGGCGCGCTCAGCCGCCGTCAGTTACTGGAAGTTCCAAGTCACATCTCAAGGTTAAGAGAACTAGTGCAAGCAATATCTCGATTGGGTTACTTAGCATTGACAACAGCGTAACAATTGAACAATATAACAAAGGTGGAAAAGCTAAAGCTTAACAGGTCCCGTGGGATGGTCCCGGTGAATATTGCAAAAGATAGAAAAATCGTCAGCGTAAGTGTATTTACACCACTGGACTCGCCGAAGTATGGTAAGCAAAAACTGTAAATCGACTGCATGTCCATAGTTAATGACGACAAATAAGACGTTAGTGAATATTGTGCCGCCTTCTTGCGAACGCATAAAGGAGGTGAAAAGGATGAGACATATTATGGGCTTTGACCGGAGGTGAACTCTCTAACAGACACTCGTGTTTAGGTATGGGCACTGAGCCATGTGAGATGGCGCAGCGAAATGAGTGCGCGGTCAACTCGGGATTTGAATTCTATCAGCACGAGAGCACAGATGACAGATCCTGGTAGGGCATTTCATGCTTGGTAAACACTCACAGAAGGGAAATTCTGACGACATTCCGAATGAATGTACGGCTCTGCCAGCTTGAGATGGTGGAGTCTCAAAGTATTGTTGTAACTGAGCTCCAGCTCATGGCGGCACGTGTAGTTGGGATCTCACAAAATCTGGTAAGTCGTACTAAGGTCCCCACATAATCGCTGATATTGTCCGCTGAAGACTCCGAGCATTCGAAGCCTGTGTTTATAGGGCAAATGATGCAAACCTTTAACATTCTTGGTTGCCCGTCGTTGCGTTATCTCCAAGGCGGTGAGATCTCTCCTCAGCCATGGCTATCAGACCTGTATTGCTTATTCCACCTGTGGACATATGTATGAACCTAGAAGCTGTTGAAAAATCTACAAGTTGGTGGTTCGAACGCACGCCTCAGGTGACCAACGTGTTCGATGCCCCTTCTTAATGCCTTTTCAGCCTGATTCGATCACCAAAGGTCAGCCTGGACCAGAAAGTCCAGATCATTGTCATCAGAAGACGTTTGATGCTTTTGGTTGCCGAGTTTGTAGGAGCACGCCAGCTGGTGCTGTAAGTACAGCACTTTACATTTGTTCTCGTTGAATGTTAGTAGATTCTGGATTGACTCCTGCTTCGGTTCAGCGGGATCGCGCTAGCAGTAGATTTGTAGTGCACGATCGATTTCATCGGACGCTCTGCTGTTCTGGTGCAAGGTAGGTAAATGCTTCCAAGTAGGCCGTTAACTCATCAGCAATAATGGCTTTCATGAGTTTTGAAAGTACCGGTAGTAGGACGAGGAGACGGTAGCTGGCTGTATCGGAACAACTACCTCCGTTGTGCATAGGAGTAATCATCCCGCGTCTCCAAATGTCAGCCACGTTCATTCCGTCAAAACAGTGCTGGAAGAATTGAGCCAAACGCTCAGCTAAACTCTCCTACCGTCGCAAGTGACCTCAAGTGCATGTTATCAACTCCAGGAGAGTTGTGATTACGCATACTCAACAGCTTTTTAATGTAGTGTTTGACGTGAAGGCTATATGAGTGAGTTTTTGGGGGTGAGACAACCCATACCATAGGGTTAGGTAGCCACTGATTGCACTGAAAAGTTGAAGTTTATTGCGAGCACAGGGTATTCGCCGCATCCATCAGGGTCCGTGTCAGTCCGTCCTCTGTTTGAATAGGAGGCATTCCACATTTCACGTTACGTAGATTTTTGCATGCTGATGCGGTAGCTTGTGATTTGAGACCATACGCATTGCCAACTTCTGCTGGTATGCCACTTTAGCCTCGCGGACAAGTTGAGTACAGCAGTTAGGTTGGGTCACATAGGCCATCCAGATGTCGGTACGCAGAGAGAGGTTATAAATACGCCACGTCGAGTTTGGCACAGCCATACACTTGCGTATCCTGCTTCGCACAAACGAGACCACGTTTCTCGGGTGGACAGCTTTAGTTTCTGATGCTTCGGCAACCAGCGTGTTAAACTTGCTGAAAAATGTTGCCATGTGGTAGTCGGTGCCTGGTTTGCCAAAAAGGTCCAGCTGGTTGTCTCACCTAGTCGAGCTAATATCTTTTAGCGTATAATCATCCTCGTTGTGTAGATAAAGTCGGAAACACTGAATGACCCTTAACTGTCAAATGTGTGTGCTTATGTTCTAATTGGTTGGCTGGGTCGGCTAGACGACAGTATAAAAAAATTTCACAATCGAAGTACTGAACAGAGTTCCAGCTTGGTTGTATACTTAGGGGTTCTGAAGTCGTCGTCCCCAAACGAGTCGTCTGACATTCGTACCGGAACTTCCTATGGTTTACTAAGGAAAGATGACTGCCCCGGCGCGTAACCATATCTGGGGGTATGGCGTTGATATGGAGACAGATGGAGAGATAGAGAAATATATAACTAGCGTTTAATCTCTTCGCGCGAGACTGTGTGCAGACTGCTAAGAGCATAAACCATCTCCGCATTGTATGCCAATGTCTCCATCGCAGTGGCCCTCTCGCTCATGGGAAAGAACACACATTGATTTCTGTAGACTCATCGACGGCTCCATGGTGCTTGTTGTAGTGGACGCACATTCGAAGCTCGGGCAGCTGCATCCATGAATGGAGCGACCACTGTGTGCACCCGAAGGAACATCGCTACGCATGCGGTACCATGAGCAGCGGTCTCAGGTAATGATAGCATTTACCAGCGGCCAGTCTGTGAAATTCTTGCGCCAAAATGTAATAAAGCACGTTCTGTTGACACTATGCAACCTAGTCGTTCAATGATCTGGCCAAGACAGCGGTTGAGCTAACTGAGCATGACGCGGTTAAACGACAGCTGGCACCGCATGGCACCACCACTGTCACGGATCATTCACTATATGAACTTCTAATGGAACGACGAATGCCCATTCGATTGAATCTAATCAAACCCAACCTGCTTGGGATGCTTGTTAATTGTCATTCCTCGTTGCAGGGACCTTATGACTTGATAGCAGATTGTGGGGTGTTTAAGGCAGATTACCGGGTCTAGGTTAAAGTGAGGCCATCAGGAATATTTGGATCCAAGGGGTTACGAATTTGAACAGCAGTAGTGCAGTGGAGGCGGAACCTTGAGGCGGAAAACTGGATGTCATTTGGACCAATTTGTGATTGGGCCTGTGAATCCAGAAAAGGAGAAAGGAAATTATCCACCAAAATGGTCAGCGGAAGAGTTACCAAAAGAATATGGTCCTTTGCTACCTACGCAGCAAATTGGGTCAATTCGTGAGAAGCGGAGTGTAGAACGTTATCAAGCAAGATGCACCTAGTTCAGCGGTGAAGCACTGTTGTGATGGCTTAGTGCCAGTCACTGTTCCCCAGGCGATGCACGTGATTCGTGGTGTGAAGCACAGTGCATGTGGGAAATTGGACCAGGAACTGGCCGCGTGTCCACTCAGTACAGTCGAGTCCTTTTACGTGTTGATTTCTAACATACAACCCCGGATATTTGGTGCACATGCTTTGAGATTTTGTGCTTTCACTTATTTGCTCGTGTAGTGATGCCTAAGGTAACACTGCGCATTGTTGTCTGCACCTTTTGTTTAAAGTGCTGATTCAGCCTCTAAATGAGAGTGCCTAGCTGTGCTGAGTTATGTTTCTTGCATTCACGAACAAATCAGAAGGTATTCAGATAACTTGCCTTCGTTAGGTTTTCTTTGTTTTCTGGATTGAAGATATTGTTTCTTGAGATGCTAACACTGTTTCACGCATCCAATTTGCTACTTCGTACCGTAGTTAGAAAAACCCTTACGTTGCTGGTGGCGTAACAGTTGACATGCTAGCCAATTCATAGGTGTTAAGCTGCCTATGAGAAATGCCTCCGAACTGATACCCCCACCAGCATGTCAAGAAAGAGGAGATTGAAGTTTCTTCTGAAAATACATGCACCGACTAAAAGACTGCGGCCGTGAAAGTGTGGAATCAACGTGTATTGACCATACACAAACGTCACATAAGTGAACGGTGGCTACGGTAATTCGGTTGAAATTAAGACTTCGAAACACGCGGAATGGTATGATGGTGACAGCCTCGGCTCCAAAGCATGCTGTATCTCATCGTCATCACTGGGGTCCTTTTGGCAGAATATGTATGTAAGTCTATTTCTGTGAGCAGCGTTGTCATTGTGCGATTTCTTAGGGTATACCTCCTTCAAGTATCGACTCAAATGACGTACTCAGAATAACCAGCCAAAATAAGCACAGGCGTAACTGTTCTCTAACGTTTTGCTTCTTCCCTTGTGATTGCGTCATTTGGGATATAACATACAAACAGCCTCCCCGGTTAACTTTAACTTCTCGTTTCAGGCTAGCCAGTTTCTCCAGCAACTCGAAGCTGATCGGAATGGACGTTGTGTCACCGTGGTGATCGACCAATCGGACAGGGAGGGCACGGTGAGTCAGTCACTTTATTTCGGCCCACTAACAGGAGACCAGTCGCTGGCAGAGTATGCACATGACTTGGCGTGCATCCCTAATTGTTGGTCCAAGCAGGTTTGTTCACTGTGTAATTGTAGAGAAAGCGCAGAAGGAGTCAGTAGACATAACGGAGCATAACGGAGAAAACAACGAACTCTGGTACGAGCTTTGACGTTGCGCTGGTTTTAAACCCGCTCCAGCATTAACTGTCCAGCGTTGCGTTATGTGCCTTTGCGTATGCCGCCTAGTCTGATTGCGCAAACCATTGATTTATATTTCATAATGTTTAGCTAACCAGTTGGACAGAAGTGTGGTTTCCTCTAAGTTCATTTGTCGTCTTTTACCAAGGCTTTCACAATCCAAATTATGTCATAGTTTTCTTTATAATTGTAGATGCCTGAAGTGATTTATCGAAAAGAATATTCTTCGCACAATTGTTAAGCATCTGTTGGTCGCATAGCGTTGTATTTCAAGCGGTGTAGAAATGTTTTTTCTTTTATATAATTATTGTAGCAATGCATGGACTTAGATACTCTGAAACCATTAATGCAGGAATCCGCGCATGTCATTTGTCTAAGCAGTCTAGGGCTCTTGATTTTCGCTAAGTTGTTACTACAACAAGAAGTTACGTGAGTAGAGGTACTTCACTTTTTTCGGTCATTTGATCACGTAAGTTCACAACTGAAAATGTTTTGTCTACTGATACACGGAAATGACACTTACCATTACATTTCCACTAGACAACTGTCTTCTGTATCTTTTATGGTGATTTTACTTTGACAACCATGTAGTACGTGTTAATGGATAGTTTTAACTATTAAATGGAGTGGATAAGATTTAATCATTTGCCAGTCCGTCTTAAGTCGTTGTCGTGAAGAAATCTACGGAATATCATCTGCGTGAAAGTAGGCAAACCAGTCCGTGGGAAACAGCGACTCCGGTGTACCTAAATACAATCGTTACTTCTGAAATAAAGCAAAATAAAAACTGGCAAGTATGCAACGGAACTTATGTTGCAAGCCTCTGCACGATCCTAAGTATGGGGCAAAAATCGACGGACTCCTCAGTATCCAAAGGAAGTGCCAAGCATATGCACTGGATTTAATTGCTGGGAGTCTACTGTTGCCTCCGATGTACTCGGCAGCATTCGTAGATCCGCAGGTGGGTTAAATAGAAGAAATTGTGGGAAAAATGCTTCCACCGTCGCAAATGTCCGTGCGCACACCTGTCTGTCCTGATTTCCGACCATTGCTACGGAATTGTCAGCAATTACAGCATTGTCTAGATGTGCATCAATAGAAAGGTAATCATTGACAGAAATGTAATTCACATTACTAGAAAAACAAGCCAATGTGGTGCAGTAGGTAATATCGAAGTAAACGTCAGAGGGTAGTTGCGAAGAGGCAACCTTCCCAACCACTCGTCTGAATACTTGAGGCGTTGGTAAATGTTGTTCACGAACAAAACGGCGTATGGTGCGACTAGAATGGAAAATCGAAGTAGGAGGCCAGTAGGCAAACTTCACGGATATCATCACACAAATGCGGCATGCAGTGAACGTTAAAAACCAAATCTTTGGGTCCGTAGATAAGAACACACTGGTCAACAGCCTTACGGAGTATCAACTGTGTATGCTCAAAATAGTAATCGTACAATTTCTTACAACACCATACGTACATCACCGTGGTAATGTGCAAGCAGTTCTCGTAGCTAGCAGGGCTCGACATCTTTCATCACAATAGGGCCAACGTACAAAAGGAATTACCGATACTCCGGGACATTCTAGCGACCTATACCGGCGAAGTTGCGGCAATTTATTGGGATATCAGCACTCAGAGACTTCCTACTTTAATCGATCCCATTCGTAAGAAAGTATAATTGCATGTCAGACAAGTGCACTTTAGGAGATAAAGGGTCGTTGCGCCATGGGAAATCAGATACGGCATCACCATATCGCAAAACATGTGTTCCCAGGGGAAGCAGGTGGTCATGCTAACGCTCAGTGCCTAAAAGGGGGAATCGCCAACATTAAGTTTTTCCTATCAGTACGGACGGAAATCTACGTCTGCTCTTTGCGCGCAGCCGGTGTTCATTGGAAACGTCTTGCGGCCATCCAGATGCACCCCAAACGTAGTTGGGTCATATTACTGAGGGCGCTCACCAGTTACGGCACACTCATCACCCGGGTAGTACCCGGAATGTTGTTTCACTTGTCCGTTGTATGCTCTAGCATCAGCATCCACTATCGCGCACTTCAAATGCAGTGTTACCAAGGGACCATCTGGGGATAAACTTAAGTCTAGACATATACAGTCTTTTAGCTCAGCAATGGTTGCTTCCAAGAATGCGTGCATATCTGGGGGCTTCGACAGGCCACAAAACAGTCTGAAAATAAACACCGAAGAAAACGGATCGGTTAGTCTTCCCAAGATGGACAACAGTTGCGTACGCGAACTACGTAACAGTACGAGTCCGTCTATGTGTAGTTGCAGCTTTGGCGTGGAAGTGATTTCCACGTCACTGGCTGGCAACAAACAGCTTATTCCTGTAATCAGACTACGGCGTACGCATTTGCGGCCCTTTACAATGGTCACTAGACGAATACAAGTCAAGCCAAGAACTAGCTTTATGACCTCTGGGCGGGTGAATGTTCAGCTACAACAAGCTCGACCTCAGCAATGTACCAAAAAGTCCGAAGCAATTAAGAAATTATACCATAAAAAGCTGGTTGGGAAAGAATAAACCGAAACGCCATAATATTTCCGATCTACTGGTTAGGTTTAGAGCCACAGAGTTAGAGTCTAGCAAAATACGCGAAATATGATGGATGACTGACGAGCGGTAGGCTTTTGTGCGCGGACTAATCTTCTTGTTCTTCTACCTAATAGGCGATGACAACAAACATTCAAATGAAGCGCTTTACAGGGGATAACTGGTATCGGCTAATATCCTTGACACCAGTTGCTTACAAAAGCTGATGTGTGTAGACAGTAGCCTGTTGACAAAGTTAAGCTTTGGAACGCCGCTACATCGGGATAAATTCCCTAATGATTTGGAAGTTAACTTAAAGCGCTTACCCAGAAGACCGGGGAAAAACACAAGGGGAGCAGAACGTCCGGTGGGGAAGAACACGAGCATTGACAATGCGAAGGATCAATTCACGACGGATAGAGGAGGCTCGTTGATGAGAGACGTAGAATGACAACCTGCTGACTTTTGTGCATGTTTCATTTACTTGAGTCTTAGATAAGTCGCAGTTTAGTGTCACACCGAGGTACTTCGCTGATGTAACAGCGTGTAATCGATCGCCTTACATATGGGGCTTGGGGCACTGGAGTAAGGAGGTGCTCATACAGCGCTTCTCTGTGTAACAAAAAAGCGTATCATGACATTTTGATGCATAAGGGCAGATTGCGAGCCTTGGACCAAACGTTGAGTTCGCCCCGAAGATCTTGTAACCTGAGTGAGCAATCGGTAGTTTGATGATCGAAATCAATGACGATGTTGTTAGTAGACTTTAGTAGGATCGCTTCTCCGTGGGCTGATACTGAGCCGACGTAAGTAGAATAGGGAAAAGGCGACAGAATTGCTCGCTGGAGAACACCGGAGTTGGTGATTAATGTGGAGAAGCAACTGCTATCGAGTCGGGTAGTCTGAGTGCTTCCAGTAAAGTAATCACTAAGCAAATGGACGATGTAGGAATGTAATACTTTAATAAGTGGAACTTTTAGCTGCAATTCGAGGTTTACACAGCCATATGGATTGCTATGGTCACGAAAACACGTTTGAGTTGATTTTTTTCCGTTATCAGACGATGACTGTACTGTATGTACGAGGCAGAACACAGCATATATGGCAACCCTCGAGCTACGGTAGGCGAACTGAAGGAAGTTATTAGAGCGCGTTTGCAACAACATCTTCTCAAGAAGCATTTTTGTCAGAACCCTCAAGGCAGTAAAAGTGCAAACGGTAGATCGATATTGCCTCGATCCTTTTTTGGCACCGGTGAACTTTAACAGGCAGCGATTTCGTATTGCTGCACACCCATTGTGTACATTGACGTAAAAGACGTCGCCAAAAACCAGCACAATCTTTAAGTATGATGCTAGGATAGTCTATCCAAACCACTAGCTTTAACGGTCCACAGGTGCTTTAGTAAATTAAGCACAGTTACACTGTCGGTAGGAGGCTCCGTGTCTACAGAGCCCAGAACATGGGCACAAGAAAGCTCCGGTGTTTTATTAGCATCACAGTTACAGAACTCCTGGTTCAATTTTTACCTCCACATCAAAATAAGGCAAGCGTCGAGTAAGTCCGCTAAGCTGCTTCATTATTCTCCAGAGTTCGCGACAGCTACCGTCCCCGAGAATACACTGGATATACACTTGGATAAGACGGTGTAGCTCCTCTTCTATACAAACAATAAAACAATGATATATTAAGAACAAAAAAGTGGATGCTTAGCATGTGCCGTAGAATGGCCAGAAAGAGAACCACAACCTGGTGAATAGGAAAGAGTGATACAATGAAACTCGTTTTGGTGGACTCACCCCCTTGGTAACACAGAGGCATGCAGAAAGGGCTAACCTCAGTCGTGTAGGTTAATTCTGGTTGTGCAACTTTCGTCGCCTTATATCGTCGGTCGAGACACACAGGCTATATCTCGTAATGTAAGTTGGTTAGAGCAACGTCAAGGCGCTTTCAAACACAGGTAAAGTGGGGGCGGCAACAAACTAATTTGGGAGGGCATTCCATGGCTGGCACACACGAAGAGGGTAAAGGTTTCGTGGAAATTCTAGTCGACTGTATTGTGTGGCTAACTTGAACTGGTGGCCCCGAAAATTCGTGTTGTGGCTCAGTTGTAGCAGGTGGAGTCAGACGTGGTTGCCACGTAGACGCCGGTACCGGCCGTTGTGGACTTTTTGGGTCCTCAGTCTAAGTTAATAAGGAAGATGGAACACCCCTTTGACTGTTTC